GATAAGACATACTTCTTTTTTTTTTTTTTTTTTTTTTTTTTGAGACGGAGTCTCACGCTGTTGCCCAGGCTGGAGTGCAGTGGCCGGATCTCAGCTCACTGCAAGCTCCGCCTCCCGGGTTCCCGCCATTCTCCTGCCTCAGCCTCCTGAGTAGCTGGGACTACAGGCGCCCGCCACCGCGCCCGGCTAATTTTTTGTATTTTTAGTAGAGACGGGGTTTCACTGTGGTCTTGATCTCCTGACCTTGTGATCCGCCCGCCTCGGCCTCCCAAAGTGCTGGGATTACAGGCTTGAGCCACCGCGCCCGGCTGATAAGACATACTTCTTATGAAAAACTATAAAAGGGTCTTGTCAAAAGAAGTAGAACCTTAATCTGATCCTGCTTCTTGATCTAACTACCAGTTTATACAGAATAAGGGAGACAGACTGTATTAGTCCATTCTCACACTGCTATGAAGAAATACTTGAGACTGGGTAATTTATAAAGGAAAGAGGTTTATTTGACTCACAGTTCCACAGGGCTGAGGAGACCTCAGGAAACTTATAGTCATGGTGGAAGGGGAAGCAAATACATCCTTCTTCACATGGCAGCAGGAAGGAGAAGAATGAGAGCGAGTGAAGGGGGAAGCCCCTTATAAAACCATCAGCTCTCGTGAGAACTCACTATCACAAATAGCATGAATAGCATGGGAGAAACTGCCCCCGTGATACAATTATCTCCCCCTGGCCTCGCTCTTGACACATGGGGATTATTATAATTCAAGGTGAGATTTGAGTGAGGACACAGAGCCAAACCATATCGCAGAGGAACATATTTTAAAATAACATGAAGTTGTGAGCAACAAAATCCAGCATATGAAAATCTTGATAAGGACATATGAACCTGACTTTCTCAGCAAATAAATTGCTAGGAAACAAAATAGAGGGGAAGCTTATAGATTTACACTTGAGAGGCAAAGCAAGCAATCCAATGCAGGAGCTTTATTTAGATTTATGTCAAATTGTCCAAATACAAGCAACACAGTTATGAAGAAATGAGGAAAACTGAAAATTGACTTTTTAATAAGATGAGAACTTATTATTAATTTTTAACTAAAAAATGGAGGTAGAACATATCTTTTCACTGTGTGTGGCAAGGCAGGTGAGGTGATTGATCATATAGACTCTAGAGCTACCTCTTTATTCTGCACCTAGTGGCTGTCTGTGACACTCAGGGCTGTTAATTCAATAAAATATAATGTAGGGAATCTGCTCTGGTGAATTCCAGATACTCATACAGAGTTGAGTGGGAGGGGCACTGTACAGAAAGGTGAATTTTTCTGCCGTATGGCTACCTCTCCAATAGTCCCTCTGTGATCTTTTGAATACACTGGACTCAGGCCACATATATTTGAAACTCATTTCTATTTTTTGTCCTTGTTCTTTGTTATTTTGTCTCCCACTCTTTTTCTTCCTTCTCTGGTTTCCATTGAGCATTTTATATGATTCCATTTACTCCCCTCTCTTAGCATATCAACTATATTTTTGTAATTTTTTAGTTGTCCTAGACTTTGCACTATACATTTACAACTAATCTTACTCCGTTTTCAAATAACACCACTTCATAGGAAGTGAAGTTACCTTATAACAGTGTATCCCCAATTCCTCTCTTCCATTGCTTGTTACCACTGCTGTCATTCCTTATCCATAAATTATAATTACCAAATACACTGCTGCTATTGCTATTTTGAACAAACTGTTATCCATTAGAAAAATTAAGAATAAGAAATAAAATAGATTCTGTTTTACCTTCATTTATGCTTTTTCTAACATCTTTTATGCGCATCCAAGTTTCTTCTCTATTTTTTTTTGTGGTAAAAACACTTAACATGAAATATAAACCCCCTTAACAACTTTTTCAGTGTACAGTACAGTATTATTAACTCTAGGCACAATGCTTTACTGCATATTTCTGCAATGTATTCATCATCCATAACTGAAACTTTCTATCTGTTGAGCAGAAATTCTCCATTTCCCCATGCCCCCAGCCCCTGGCAACCACCTTTCTACTTTCTGTTTCTATGAGTTTGACTATTTTATTTACCTCATATAAGTGGAATCATGCAGTATTTATTCTTCTGTAATTTGCTTATTTCACTTAGTGTACTGTCCTCCAGATTTATACATAGATTCAAATTTCTGACCTACATAAGTTTTCTTTTCTCTAAAATACTTCTTTTACTATTTTAATAATTGTAAGTGGAAAAAGTAAGTCTTCAAAATTTTTAATATTTAAAAATTGGGTGTAGACCATAATAGGATAAATTAGTATATATCTGTCATTACGGAAAAGGTGTTGTATTTTCTATTCTGCTTTGTTTGTGTGTAAATGTATTCAGTTCAAGGAAATTTAGAGCAATAAATAAAAACAGAGAAGAGAAACAAACAAAGAAACCCAAAATATAAAAAGTGTAAGACAGCAAAAGAAGACCAAAGGTGTTTGCAATGTGTCTATATTTACCAGGCTACATTCTGATTGCCGCTTGTCAGTTGATGTGGTTACAGATGTATCCTGAGGGTCTTATAGTCATTCTGTCTTTTCACAGCTGTTTTGAATGGGTAGGCATCTGTTTTATATTTCCACATCCTATTTCAATTCCTTCTGGGGTAATTTATGTACCACTCATAAGGAGAGAAGTCTACCCAGAAGAGAGGCTTCCTATGAATATTTACTGCATGCAAATATATCTGGAATGAAGGGGTTCAGAGAACTCCAAAGGGTGGTTAAAAATATAAATGTTAAGATTTATTTATTAATCTTACCTTTACTTCCTCTAAAAATATTTTAAAAGTTTAAAAATCTATCAGGGCCATACCAGTTTCCTCAATAAATTAGTAAGATGACCTCTTTAGAAGAATTGAAAATAATTATTACAATTTTTGGACAGAACTAGTATGACCTTAATAAAATAGTAGAATGTATTTATAATCAGCTTTGATATTTTGACTTTTTATTTTTTAAGAAAGTCAAATACACAAATTGTAATCCTTTGAGGAGTGAATATCTGGAAGCCCCACTAAATCTTTATTCTTTCTTTTTCTCTCTGCTTCTTTTAAAGTATTTTTTTTACATGTAAGTTTCTTATTTCCAATACAGTATTAGATAAAATAGGAACTCATTTTTATTACCATGCATCAGATGAAATTCCTCTTATCCCATTTGGTCGATATCATTAGCCTTTCAACTCCAGTGATAAATCCAACCACAGAAATTTTCTCACTGTGAAACTAACCACAGAGGGAGCAACAACAGACAGCACTGCGTAGATCTGCAGCTTTTGGCCATATGTAAATTAGAACAATGGTCCCTGACAAACTGGTCTGAAATGAAAATGGGCCTTTGATAATAACAACTTCAATTTATATGCTGCTTTACCTCCTGAGGATTTCAAAAAACCCTCAACACATTATTATTTGAAAAAGCCTGAAAAACACCAAGGTCTATGCTAATGTTCCCAAAAGATATTAATGGCTATTCTGTGTGCAAAACAGAGAACTTCTATATCTTACTAATTTTCTGCATTTTAATATGCTAGGTACACATTTTGAAGTAGATGATCCTAATAGTAAATGTCACAACTGGGACCAATCGTTTATTTGCTACCACACAGATTTCACCTTTGAACTCTCTGAAATCACCAGTCCCCTTCTGCATAAGCATTAACCACACCAGATGAAATGAGGAAACGATAACCTGATTCCCGTTTGTGTCCAGTGGTTTACTGGGGCAGGGGTCCACAGTAATGTTTGGAAACATTTTAACTGAAGAAAGCACATTTAGAAGTGATTTGTAGGCCGGGCACGGTGGTCACACCTGTAATCCCAGCACTTTGGGAGGCCAAGGCGGCCGAATCACAAGGTCAAGAGATTGAGACCATCCTGGCCAACATAGTGTAACCCCGTCTCTGCTAAAATTACAAAAATTAGCTGGGCGTGGCAGCATGTGCCTGTAATCCTAGCTACTTGGGAGGCTGACGCAGGGAATCACTTGAACCTGGTGCAAGGCAGAGGTTGCAGTGAGCCGAGATCGCGCCACTGCACTCCTGCATTCCAGCCTGGCAACACAGCTAGACTCCGTCTCAAAAAAAAGGAAAAAAGTGTTTTCTAGACATATTTGTGTTTTAACAGCTCTATGCCAAATGGTAGCTAATTAATAGAAATGGGGAAATGGGGAGAAGGAATAGAAATGGAGACTTTCTAAAGAGGAAATAGAAAGTATAGGCCGGGCACAGTGACTCACGCCTGTAATCCCAGCACTTTGGGAGGCTGAGGCGGGTGGATCACGAGGTCAGGAGATCGAGACCATCCTGGCTAACACGCTGAAACCCTGTCTCTACTAAAAATACAAAAAATTAGCCAGGTGTGGTGGCAGGGGCCTGTAGTCCTAGCTACTTGGGAGGCTGAGGCGGGAGAATAGGTGTACCTGGGAGGCGGAGCTTGCAGTGATCCAAGATCGCTCCACTGCACTCCAGCCTGGGTGACAGAGTGAGACCCTATCTCAAAAAAAAAAAAAAAAAAAAAAGTACAGTATATATTAAATGTGAATCCTAAGAGAAAATTCTAATATCATTTTTTTTAATGTGATTACCTCAACATGACAAATCAGATTTTGTTAAGCAGTTTACAGGGTACAGAAAAAATGACAGAATTTTTTTGTCACGCAAAGAACTGACCACAGTGGAAAATTAAGTGGCAGCTGTCTTTGCAACTTCACCATGGTGCCCAGTATCAGAGATCTGAAAAGCTCAGGTATTATTTAAATATTCATTCACATCTGTCTATTATAATGTAAATATTTTGCAGATCCTTAATATGGCATTTTTTTTCCACCCCTGTGTTTCCTATAATTAACATGAATGTGCTCAGGGAATATTTTAAATTCAATAATGTTATTAAAAAACAAGCCTCCAAAAGCCTCTGACACCCAAGCTTAATGAATTTAATGTTGAAAGGCCAACAGCTTTGAGGAGTCCTTTTTCTGGTTTATTTGGCCTTTGGAGAGCAATTTATTCTTACAAAGTGACAAATTTTAGAAATGTTACAAGTAGAAGACTGATGTCTGAGAAAAGTAGATACCATTGGAATGATTGTTAGAGTATATGTAGCTCTTGATTTATTTGTATCTAGATAAAGAAAAAAATGTATATTTAGTATTAAAATCAACCAAGCATAGTGAAATCTTCCAGTAAATAAGGTAGCTGAGTACTAGAGACTTTCATTCTCCCTACCCCTCCCCCTGCCTCAATTCTCGTGTAGGAAATATTGGAAATAGGGAAGAGTTTCTATCATTTCTGGAATCTGAGGAGGCTGTTATACAAATAAAAAACACTTGGGTAATTTCTTCCTGATATGCTGCACATGGTCCTGTTAACCAGTAGGGACAATAACACTGTGGATATATGATTCAGAGGGTCTGGAGCCCAGTATGCATCTATTCCTAATCAATGGAGTCCAGGGTCAAAATTACCTCGATTAACATTGTTGCTATTGTTATTACTATTATTAACTCACCTGCCAAGAAAGGAGTTTGGCATCTTGGAAGTAAGATTCTGCATTGTATGCACAAGCTGTAGTTTGCAGGGTGTGATGGTGGACAAGTAGACAAAATGGAGAATGTTATTTCTGACAGTGGCTGATGTTTCTGGAGAGATCTCTGCACTGTAACAAGTATTTCTTCTAGCAAAGCAGAAAGTCATACCTGGAAGGGATGGAGGAAGAATTGAATGGAGTGTGTGCTGAAAAACTCTGGACACGGGCAGCTACATAAATTAGAAGCAGCTGTGGCTGAACTGGAAGGGTATTCAAACAGTAGCAGATGTTTCTGTACCAGGCAGTAGCACGTAGGAGGCCAGGTAGAACTAGAGATCTCTGTGTGTGAGAGGGAGAGGGGAGCTGGTAATCAAGGACATAAAAGGCTACAATAAGGAGAGGCTCTGCCACACAGTTGGCCATCAGATAGAAATCTGAGAGGTCTGACACTTCAATCAGAGGTTTTTGCCAGACACAGATATAGTTCAGTTCTACATAGATTTTTCAAGTTTATATATGTTGTAGCCATTCCTTAGTTTTATTCCTCCTTCCCTTCTTTTGAATCCTTTTGTTAATTTTGCATGTTTCAGGGAAGGAATAATGTAAATTTGTATGTCCTCTGCCATCTTTCCAGAAGTTTTAACATCTCTCTTTTGAGATCCAACCAACAATAAAATGTTTCTTGCATTTTCAAGATGTTCTTTCATTCTGTTGTTTTTCTTTATACTTGAACACACAGATGGTTGGCTTAAATTCAACAGTCCAATTTGCCTCCAGTTGAGGATTTGGATTTAACAATTTGCTGTATCTAATGATTCCCATATTTTTCTCAAGTGTATTAAATTCATATGCTTCTTTTCATTATTATCATCATATTCATTTTTCTATTTTCCTTATTAAAATAGTAAATAAAAGCAAAATGTTATAGAAGAGTATCCTCAAATACTTTTTAAAATAGGACATTATTTTCAAGTGAAAATTATCTTAATGAATCATTAACTTAAATGATCTTGAATGACAATTTAGATATCATAGTAGTTAACATTATAGAGCCTGGAGCCAGTTTTCATTTTTCACTTTCTGGCTATGTGATTTTGGGTAATTTATTTAACCTCTCTGGTTTCTCCATTTTCTTATATATGAAACAGGAATGATAATAGTGACAACTTACCACACAGTGTTCTTGGGATTAATGAGTTAATAGATGTCAGGCACTGAGAACAACACTCTGCTTAATGCAAGAGCTATATTATCTTTTGTCATTAGCATTACCCAAATTTCAGTGAGTAACAGAAATAACAGTGAAGGTACTTGGGTTGATGTCAGGACTTAAGGATTTATTTCATGTAGGTGAGAGGTAAGGTTTTATTATTTTTTCTTTTTTTATTTTGCTTCCAACTCATTAACTATTATTCCAGTACTATTTACTGAATAATTTATTTCTGTCAACTTCTTATATCCATTTTAATTCTGTTTTATATTTAATGTTGTTATAAAAGCAATTATTTTTAAACTTTTTATTTTATTACATGAATAATATATGCTCATTTCAAAAGCAGAAAATGCAAATGAGGTAAAAACACACCTTTCATATTCTAACTTTGAGAAATGTTTACGTGTATTTCTGTATTAGTTAGAATGAGTTGGGCTATTCTGTGGTTTAAAACAACAACAACTACAACAAGCCTCGGGGTTTTAAAATCACCGGAGCTGATTTCATGCATCACTATATATCCATGTGAGGTCGTCTGGGGTTTCTGCTCTGCTGTGTATCAGTTTTCTCCCAAAAAGGCAGAACTTAAATGTACCATTCCTTCACACTATTTAGCACAAAGTTTAGGATCTCCGAGTAAAGTGGATAGTCTGTTTCTCATGTCTAAAGGTGGTTGGTTCCTTTCGATCTAGAAACCCCACTGATATATCCACAGCATTTTTCAGACACACATCTTATAAATGTGCAATGCATCTCTGCATTCTCACTTTCAGTGATCTGTTTTGTGACTTAATTGTAGTTACATTGAGTTTGTTATACTTCAGAAAGTACGCTTCTCATAATCACTCCTCTCTTAACGACTCTGTCAAATCCAGAAGATTTACTGGTGTCACACATTCTTTGTTAGACCATTACATTGGGTGAACTTAATAAGTTGGGAGATAAGAATGAGGTGTAGTGGCCACAACCTTGACTTGACCCTGACTTTTAATAGGATTTCTGCCTCAAAAACATTCTCAGCCTCCCCCTATCCCAGACAGTTTTGGGTTGAGAAGTACTTGCCTCTTTGAACGTCACAGATCTCTGAATTAGTAAACGCTAAGTTGTCATTAATTCTCTTCTTACAAACTGATAAATTGTTTTCTGAAATTATCTGTTGCTTATGTTATCTTTCCACATAGAGCCTGCCCTAACCGGCACACAAACTACTAACATTTTCTATCCTTTGCTTCTAAAGATACAAGTTTGTCAGGAACACACTCTGCCTTCCAAGAAGCTACAGAAGACAGTTTATCAAATGTTCCATCCCTGCGGTATCCTGGTCAATCATCTTCTCAGCCTGCAGTATTCGTTTTCTTACTACAAATCCCTGAGCTGTAATGCAGTGACCCAAATGTAAGAGCTTTTGGTTGAGTCGTACTCCACTTTTGATATCAGCAAAGATAGATGAGGTTATGCTGTGATAATAAACAACCTTAATGGTCTACATGAGAAAAGCTTTATTTCCCACTCATACCACATACGCATCACAGGTCAGCCGGGGACTCGCCTTTTCATTGTCTTTACTGCTGCATCCAGACTGGTGGGCAACTCACATTGGGAGTATTTACAGTCAGCAGAAAAGAGGTGCATGGCATATTCACACTTACCCTTAAACTTACCCAGATAAATGCAAAGAAAAATAACTACTCATCACTTGACTGGTCAAAGGAAATTGCTTGGCTGTTCTTAACTTCAAGGGGATGAGGATGTGAAATAAATCCATATGCCTGAGAATAGAACTATAATTCTAAAATTCATTACCCTTGTATTTCTTTTTCTCTTGCCACCTCACTCCACCTTTGGCCTGTATATCATTTATCTACGTATAGTATTTTGAGTGAATGTTTTCTTGTAGTGTTTTCCCATCCGTGTTCTGCTGAACCATTGTGGTATGTCAGAAATCAGGGTAGGTATGGCAAAGGGAGGTACTAAGCATGCATGCAGGACTTTGGCCCCAAATTCAGTTCCAGGAAGCTAGTCATGACATCTCTCCTTTTATTTATTTATTATTATTATTACTATTATTTTGAGATGGATTCTGGCTCTGTCACCCAGGCTGGAGTGTAGTAGTGCAATGTTGGCTCACTGCAACCTCTGCCTCCCAGGTTCAAGGAATTTTCTGGCCTCAGCCTCTGGAGTAGCTGGGACTGCAGGCACACACCACTACTCCTGGCTAATTTTTGTATTTTTTTTTTAGTAGAGATGGGGTTTCATCATGTTGGCCAGGCTGGTCTCGAACTCCTGACCTCAAATGATCCATACACCTCGGCCTCCCAAAGTGCTGGGATTACAAGCATGAGCCACCATGCCTAGCCACATCTCTCCTTCTAGACACAGCATCAATAATGTGTCTCATGTGTCTTTATTAATTATCATCTTTTCTCCTTGACTAATCTCAGTCTACTGGTTTAAGCCCAAAGAACTATAGATGACCAACCCATTAAAATATTACCAATGTTTACTTCTGGACACTAGAATTATGGGTTATTGTTTTCTTTGTGTGCACCTGTCCTAGGAAACTTGGAGCTCTGAATTGAGCAACCATGAATCTGCAAGATGGTAAATCCTTGATAGTTTTACAGTGAGAAAATGTTAATGAATAAAGGACAAAAAGTTGCTTTAGACTCTTTACTGTACCTGAAAATTAGAAAATAAAAGTTTTGGAAATAGGCTTAAAACGGGTCAAGATAAAAGCATTTAGACCATAAGAAATTACTTCCCAAATAAGTTTAAGATACAAGTATTTGAGCAGGAATGCACAAATTCCATCTGAGGGAGGGGAAGTCTAATATCTTATGCTTCTATCAGTGGACTAGCTACAGCCGTGTTTTATGTAAATATAAATTGAATTCCTGCAGCAGGCAGGTCACTGTATTTGCTGATGCATAATGAGGATGCTCAAACTTAGATTGTTTATCCCCTAGAGTCTCATTAAACTAAATATACTTGCCTTAAGCCACCTGCCTTTGGGCAGTTGCAATAGAAATAAAATCAGATTCATTTCCCGTCTTGATAAATTGGCATTAACTACTACTTTATCTGAAATAAGCTTGATAATTAGTGTCTCTGATTACATGGGGAAAACTGTTGAATCTTTTAGAATGCTTTAAAAAATGCAGGCTTTCTAAATTTGCTGCAGTTGAGGGAGGAGATTTGAAAGCCCTGAGCCAGTCATGACTGTGATGAGCATCATTAAAATAGCAATCTTTTTTTGGAAGCTCATCTTGTCCCAAGTAAGTGTGATTTAGGAATATGGGAACACCTGTTCCCTGGTGGCAGTTTTTACCTCAATGTTCTATTATCTATGATGACTGAGCTCCAGAGAAGGATGTGGATACTAAGAGTGAAATATCTAATTAAATGATTAATGAGAATTAAAGGTAAGGGCCCTGTATTAGTCTATTCTCATGGTGTTATAAAGGACTGTCCCAGACTGGCTATTTTATAAAGAAAAGAGGTTTAATTGACTCACAGTTCAGCATGACTGAGGAGACTTCAGGAAACTTACAATCATGGCAGAAAGGGAAGCAAACATGTCCTTCTTCACATGATGGCAGGAAGGAGAAGTGCTGAGCAAAAGGGGGAAAATCCCCTTATAAAACCATCAGATCTCATGAGAACTCACTCACTATCAAAAGGACAGCAGCATGGGGGTAGCTGCCCCCATGATTAAATTACCTCTCACCAGCTCCCTCTCATGACATGTGGGGATTATGGGAACTGCAATTCAAGATGAGATTTGGGTGGGGACACAGCCAAACCATATCAGATCTCTAGGAAATTAACTGTCTCAGGGCCAGGGTCCAGTTCTATGATTATTTTAAATACCACCACCTGCAAATAACCCATGTCACTTATATTACAGTCAATAACTATTGACCACATACAATAAACACATTTCCCTCCATGCTGTGGTCAACTGTTTACCAGGTGTTAGGTGTTGCCAGCTTTTAAGGATGCAGACAGAAAGCAGAGTGAGCTTCTTGCTGCCCCATAATCCCTGCAAAATCTTTTTCTTCTGGCCTCCCCTCTACTAGCTCACATGAAATTTAGTTTAAGACTATCTGCCAGGCGCGATATCTCACGCCTGTAATCCCAGCACTTTGGGAGGCCAAGGTGGGCAAATCACGAGGTCAGCAGATCGAGACCACCCTGGCTAAGACGGTGAAACCCCATCTCCACTAAACATACAAAAATTTAGCCAGGCGTGGTGGCAGGCGCCTGTAGTCCCAGCTACTTGGGAGGCTGAGATGGAAGAATGGCATGAATGCAGGAGGCAGAGCTCGCTGTGAGCCAAGATTGAGCCACTGCATTCCAGTCTGGGTGACAGAGCAAGACTCTGTCTCAAAAAAAAAAAACAAAAACAAACAACAACAACAAAAAAAACTATTGGGGACACTCTTCCATGTTTCTTGGAGCTTCGTTCACATACATTTTCTTGAGGCCACAGAGCCATGTCAGAGAGACTGGCCAGATAGTTCTTTTGACCACCTTACCTGCTTAGAGGGAGTTGACATGGAGTTATGACCATAAGGGATGCCTGGTGGCCTAGTGCAGGCTAGGAAGAAAAAAATAGCGTGTAAGTTCCTTGAATAAGGAGAGAAAGCAATGAAAAAATTAATGATCGGTAAACAATTACAGTAACTGCACACGAATTTTTTTTTTTAAGTTAAAAGTTTTACTATCCTATATTTCTTTTTTTTTCCCCAGTTAATTTTGTATTTTTTTTTATTATTATTATACTTTGAGTTCTAGGGAACATGTGTGTAACGTGCAGGTTTGTTACATATGTATACTTGTGCCATGTTGGTGTGCTGCAGCCATCAACTCGTCAGCACCCATCAACTCGTCATTTACATCAGGTATAACTCCCAATGCAATCCCTCCCCCCTCCCCCCTCCCCATAATAGGCCCCGGTGTGTGATGTTCCCCTTCCCGAGTCCAAGTGATCTCATTGTTCAGTTCCCACCTATGAGTGAGAACATGCGGTGTTTGATTTTCTGTTCTTGTGATAGTTTGCTAAGAATGATGGTTTCTAGCTGCATCCATGTCCCTACAAAGGACACAAACTCATCCTTTTTTATGGCTGCATAGTATTCCATGGTGTATATGTGCCACATTTTCTTAATCCAGTCTGTCACTGATGGACATTTGGGTTGATTCCAAGTCTCTGCTATTGTGAATAGTGCCGCAATAAACATACGTGTGCATGTGTCTTTATAGCAGCATGATTTATAATCCTTTGGGTATATACCCAGTAATGGGATGGCTGGGTCATATGGTACATCTAGTTCTAGGTCCTTGAGGAATCGCCATACTGTTTTCCATAATGGTTGAACTAGTTTATAATCCCACCAACAGTGTAAAAGTGTTCCTATTTCTCCACATCCTCTCCAGCACCTGTTGTTTCCTGACTTTTTAATGATCGCCATTCTAACTGGTGTGAGATGGTATCTCATTGTGGTTTTGATTTGCATTTCTCTGATGGCCAGGCACACGAATTATTTTATCCAAGTATTAATAATAATAAAAGTAGTAATGAATATTTCTAGAAAGTTTACTCTGTATTTGGCTACTGTGGAAAAATGCCATGAATTCATTATTCAACTAAACCTTCATATCAAGCCTATGAGACAGAGATTGCCTACTCTACCTGGGCCTGGGACAGAAAAGTATCTTCCCCAACCGAGCAGCAGAACTGAAAATAGAATGCAGTCTCTGCGACCCCAGATTCCTGCCTGTGCTTCGCAGGTGGTTTTTTTATATCATGATGAGGCACATGAACCTTGTTCTGAGAGAAATCTGGATACACTGGTAGGTCTCCACTGTGTATGGTATAAGTCTCTGGCTGGCAGCTTACCTTGGTGATTGCCTGGAGAGTGGTTTAGAGGACGTTGACGTTAGACAAAGGATCCTTTATCTCAACAGCCAGGGTAATAATCAGAGCCTGAACAAGGATAATGGCAGAGGCAGCACCTGAGGAATAGATGGATTTAAAATATGTTCATAATAAAAAAGCTAAAGAACCTGGTGATTAATTGGACTTGTGGACTGAGGAAGAAGAAGAAATTGAGTATTTCCAAGACCATGGCCTTTGCAGAAAAACATAGGTAGATGCTACTATTTAATTGACAGTGGCAGAGTTTTGAAAGTATTCACATTCAATCTTCTAGATTGCAGCACTGAGCCTGAAGTATCTGTAATTTCTCTTTGGGTGACAGAACATGCTGTCATAACTGTAGGTCATGTGAATCTAATGGGTTAAGAGACTCAGAAAATCCTTTAGTAGCAAGCCCAGGATACTTTCTCTGATTTACTCTGTTCCAATGCTTGCTTTATGTTGGGGATTGTACAGATTTGTTTAACTGACAAAGCAAAGCTTAGACTGTTCTTTTCCCAAGAAATAATTTCTTGAGCCACAACAAAGATTGAGATAAAAGAAGAGATTGCCTTTTGTCTACATTTTGTATTCAGTGAGAATTTTTATTTGCTATTTGTTTGCTACTTTATAATATTTCTATTAGAAAATAGTAAAAGGGCTGGGTGCCGTGGCTCATGCTTATAATCCCAGCACTTTGGGAGGCCAAAGTGGACAAATCCGGAGGTCAGGAGATCGAGACCATACTGGCTAACATAGTGAAACCCCGTCTCTATTAAAAATACAAAAAATTAGCCGGGTGTGTGGCATGCGCCTGTAGTCCCACCTACTCGGGAGGCTGAGGGAGAAGAATCCTTGAACCTGGGAGGAGGAGCTTGCGGTGAACCGACATTGCACCACTGCACTCCAGCTTGGGCGACACAGTGAGATTCCTTCTCGAAAAGAAAAGAAAACAGTAAAAGCCCATCTTTTAGACCCCCAGAAAGGAAGGGAAAAGCGGACATTGGATGCCATTTCTATCAATCATCTGGGTATAAAAGAGCAAAAACAGCAGTGAACCTGGCTGAATTTGTAAAGCTTGATTGGAGACAAACTTCTCTGTCAGCCTCATCTAAGGTGGGGGTGGAAGGTGCACTCTTCTTAGATGAATGTCTGGACTCACTGACTGGGTATGATAACATATAATTATCACATAACATTATTTTAAGGAATACTAAGCAGACCTTGCTGGACATCTTTTTTCTTTACTTAGGTTTGTCTTTTATAGTTGAGAACCTTTCACTCATTGACTAACACAAGTAATCTCCCCTGTGTTGAATGGTTGTCCCCTTCATCATCATGCTGAAACTTAATCGCCATTGTAACAGTATTAAAATGTGGGACATTTAAAAGGTGTTTGGATCATGAGGGCTCCACTCATGGTTGGGAATTGTGCCTTTATAAAACAATAAGTTTGTCCCCCTCTTGCTCTCTCTGGTTCTCTGACCGTCCATTATGTGATTCCTTATGCCATGTAATGATGCAGCAAGAATGGCCCTTGCCAGATGGTGGCCCCTTGAACTGTGAGCCAATACATTTCTGTTTGCTATAAATTACCCAGTTTGTGATATTCTGTTACAGCAGCACGAAACAGTCTAAGACATTTGATAATTAGCTGGAAAAGGGAGACCCCAGTTGCATGTAGCAGCATGGCACAATACTAGCAATGATAGGCAAAGGTTTAAAGAAGAGTTGGGAAACAAAGACTTTGTTTAATGAAATGGCCATTCTGACTGCAGTGGAGAACTCACTTTTACCTAAGAATCTTCTTTTCATTTTTCTGCCATCTGAAGACTGAATAAATCCCACTTCTGCTATTTTATTAAGAAGTAACCAGAGTTGTGGGGAGAGAAGTATGGAAGTACTGTATGTTATGCATCTATGCTTCTTTGGGTGCTTTTTCCCATAAACTAAAGTTGAAATAGACTTGTATATTCACTGTTTTCAAAATATGAGCTCAAACAAGAATTATGAAGGGTGTGATAATGAAAATGGAATCTGAAGTGTCCTCATGAGAAAAATGTAGTATCATTATGTATAAACGAGGGCAATGGATAACATATCTCCCCACTTCATGCATCTATATGGTGGTGAACTGAAAATGCTTATGAAAACCTTTTCAGTTTGAAACTTCAGTCAGCATAGGAGAAACCCACAGGATTAGAATTGGCTCTTTTCCTATATTGTTTTTACCAGTTTCCTATTCACAAAAGCAACAGGTTTATTTTTAAGTCTAGGAACGTAGACATTTGTGATAAAGACGAAGTGACATTCACTTACTAATTTCTAATTTTATTCAAATAGTGGGGTTTTTTAAATATTTCACTTTTTTAGGTACTTATGTTTACTCTGTAGTTTTTAACCATTCTAATAATCCTGCAGTATAGGTTAGGAAGATATTTTGTGCTTTATTTGAATGGGAAAACTGAGATGTAGAAAAAGATAAAAACGTCTTGCCCAAAGTCCAAGTCAGGAACGTTTGTAACCTATGTATTGTTTATTCCATGGTATGGCTGTATCAAGACTCATTTAACCTCACTATATTTGAACACTTTGTTTTCAATTTCTCGGTAGATACTAGAATATAAATATATTCATGAATATTTATTGGCAATTTTTAATTGCTTTCCTTTGAATGTTTTTCTACAAACGTTTCTAAATTAAAAAAATCAAATCAACTTAATAAATCTTCAAACACAGATTTATTAAAGTACTTATATTATTTATAATGAACATCTCCATTCAGAGCTGTGGCCTAGATTGTGACTTTCTTACTATCACCTTGATATTTCCAGACATTGCACTGTTCCCAGAATATGGCAGATCCTCAACAATCATTTGTTAAATAGTAATTAATGTTTATTATTATTTTAAGGTATTGGTTACAAATGAGAGTATCATTATGCTATCTCTAAAGAAACTAATTTACTCCCTTTCCACCATTCTGGACATGAAATACTATTTTTTCAATTGTAAATTGTTTTGTTAAATATTATAAATGCTAAATATGAATGCAGGGAATTTTGGCTAATTGAAGTGGTAATCAGATGAGTTATGTTTATTGAAAACATTCCATGTGGTAATTTAATCTCATCATTATAATTAAGATCATATTGTTACTTTGATTCAAATTCTCCATTCTCTCTGCCCTTGTGGCCTTTCAATTTTATTGAATAAATGTTCCTCCAGATAGATATTTGAAAAGTGGTATATTTGTTGCCAAGATTTATACTTTAAGAGGCATAAAACTAATTAAACAATTAAAAATGTAATGTCTTTTTCATTTTAGAGCAACAATAAAATAAACAGATTCAATAATCTGAGATTTCAATAAGAAAAAACATTGAATTGTATTACCTTACTATAGAGTGTATCACTCACCATTATTTCTAGTGCTATCTTTGGCCATGTTGGATTTCTCAGGGGAGATAAATTTATTAGCATTTTTACCATCACATTTTCTAATAGTCAGTAGCCTTCTTCCTTCAGTGCTAAGGACTAACTGTAGTTTTCTCATACAAATGTTTCCTCATAATTTTTGTTGCAGTAAAGCTTACATACAATGAAATCTATACATGTTAGGTATATAATATGGTAGATTTTGACAAATACATGCACCTATATAACCAATATCCCAATCAAGATACAGAACATTTCAATGACTGCTAAAAGTTCCCTCCTATCCTCAGTCTAGTCACCCTCCACCACTCAAAGGCAATAGTCTATTGTTTGTTTATTGTTGAATATATCATCAAATTTGTTTCTCCATTCTCTCTTAATGTTCATTTAGACTGCTTCCAATGTTTTGGCTATAATGAGTAAGAGAACCACAAATCTTCTTATACACGTCTTTCTTGTAGAAGTAAGTTTTCATATCTCTTGCATATGTACCTAAGATTGGAATTGCTGAGTCAGAGGATTGATGTATGGTTAACTTTAGAAGAACTTGCCAAAGAGTTTTCCAATGTGCTCTTTGCAGCAATGTGTAGGAATTCTAGTCACTCCAAAGTCTAGCAAACATTTGGTATTATCAGTCTTAAAAAAATCTTAGGCATTTAGTGATTGTGAAGTTGTATCTCATTGAAGTTTTAATTTGTATTTCCCTAATGAGCAGTGATGTTTAGTATCTTATCATGTGCTTGTTGGTCATTCACATACGTTCTTTTTTAAAAATTGTCCGCTCAATTCTTTCACTTAATTTTTTATTTATTTTTTTTTTTTTTGCCTTTTTCAGGGCTTCATATATATTCTGGATATATATAAGACACATACGTATAAATGTAGTGCAAATGTTGTCTTTCATTTTGTAGTTTGTGTATCAAATTACTTAACAATATATTTTGATGAGCAGAGTTTTTAAATTTTTTATGAAGTCCAATTTGTTTACGGACAGTATGTATCATGTCCTCTTTAGGTAAATTATCTACTCCAAGGTCAGAAAGATGTTCTACTGTGTTTTCTTCTAACAACTTTATGGTCTGAGTTTCCTGTTTATGTAGATATTATATCTCAGATTATTTTCTGTGTATGCTGAGAGTAGGAATTGAGACTTATTTTTTCCCTTATATATTTACTCAGTTGTCAAATCACCATTTGTTCAAAAGACTTTCCTTTCCTTATTGAATTTAGTTGGTGCCTTTGCTGAAAATCATTTGAACAGGAGGTCTATTTCTAGACGCTTTATTCTATTCTTACAATTGTCTATTCTAATGTCACCACCACACAGTCTTGATTATGGTAGCTTTATAGTAAATCTTGAATTCAGACAGTGGGAGTCCTCCAACTTTGTTTCTCTTTTTAAAGATTATTTGACTATCCTATATTCTTGAATTTTTACATAAATTATAGAATCAGTGTGTCTTTTCTTCAAGAAATCCTCCTGGAGTTTTGAGACTGATTGCATTGAATCTATATATCAATTTAAGGAGAATAGATATCTCAGCAGTACTGAGTCTTTCAATGCTGTTTTAATTCTTCTTTAATTTCTTTCAGCCATATTTATTAGTTTTCCATATAGATATTTTGGTCATATTTTATTAATTTCTAAAATATATT